ATCATCCTCCGGATCTCATCGTCACTAGTCCCACTGCCTCCGGGGTTGTGGCGTGTACCCACCATGATGTCTCTGAAACATAACACAGAATAATTAGAGACTCGCTCGAGTATACTCACACTCAATCACTCTCCCTACTTATTCCTTAGCATCCTAAGGATTCTTACTTGGACTGCTCACCAATCCGGTGCTTTCAGTAGTATGGGCCCAATACTACCTTCCACACTGCATCTGTATTCACCCTAAGTCCTCCTCCTAGGATCCCAGTTGCAAGTACTCTATACCTCACCAAACACAGACTACTCTCACAGTAGATCTCTCATAAGCTCATTTATGCTAAATACTCATACTCAGCTCATACTCAAAGCAAATCACAGATAGCAGAAATCCCTAGGCTAAGGCATCAAAAATCAGGCCACTCTAGTCCTAATATATGGAATACCTAGCCTACTCTCTAGCATACATAATATCTCATACAATATATCATGTAAATCTAATAATACAAAGTAAGGGTATTTTGGGAAATCACCGTTCGGGCTCTGGCTAATTGTACACACTCCTCCAACTCGCTTTCTCTTAAACTCTTTCTTATTTTTGAAAAAAATTTATCTCTTTTGAAAACCTTTCTCAAATCCTCAGTTTGAGCCCAAACACACCCGGGGTTGTATCTGAATCCCTCAAACTAAGGCTCTGATACCAACTTGTAACGACGAAATTTTCAAACAAAAATTTTCATTTTCAAAACACAGTAAAACTCATTTTATAATCTCAAAATCACAAGTGTATCAAATGTCAACAATCCACAAACGTAAATCACAATCCCAGAATCATAAAATAATCTCTCGCCAGTGTGTACAATCATGCCGGTGCCTTCCCGCGATCCTCGGAACTACCTGAAACACATAACACATAACACGGTAAGCGCAAAGCTTAGTGAGTTCCCCAAAATACCACATATACACATTAGCCACTTGAGGCTATCACTTTGTAAGGCCCTCTTTGCCGATGTGTCTCAGTGGGACCCTCCAGTCCCACAACTTTGGTGGACTCTCTAGTCCTAACTCTGGGACCCTCCGGTCCTAACTCTGGGACCCTCCAGTCCAAACTCTGTATACTCAGAATATCACATAGCATAAATCACATAGACATAATGCAACACAACATAGTACTCAAATAAACACATAAGACCCTCTGGTCGCACATAAATTACCACTCAAGGTAAGTATAGCGAGAAGACTCACCTCGTAAGCTAGCAAGTAAAAGTCCCGTACTGGGTATCCTCGATCTAGCCTCCGCCTACTACAAGGATAATATCTCTAATTAATACTCTCTTCGCACTCAAATACACCAAACGTTGTTCTCTCTTTCACTCTAGCCCTAGGAATGGGTAAAAGACCATTTTACCCTTCCCTGACCTCCACACCCTAAAGTCAACAGAAGTCAACTCGAGTCAACAGTCCAAGTTGACCAGACTCGTCGAGTGCACTTGTGCGACTCGTCGAGTCCCATCGTTTCTCAGTAATCTCATGAAGGTCCAGCTCGTCGAGTTAACCGCTAACTCGTCGAGCTATCGCATGATCCAATTCATCGGGACAAACCCTAATCTACTCGCCGAGTCGGCTCATCAACTCAGCGAGTCCAGTCAGACTCAACTTGCATTCAGACGATTTTAAGATAGGATACTTTCCCAAACTTCAGATCCACACTCTCAGGGCTCATTTATTACGTAAAGTCACAGACTTTACGTCCATGCATGGCATTTTGGGCATGAAATGCCAAGAACATGCTCTAAAATGTGTTTTTCACTCAAGAATTCCACCAAGGCTGAATAAAGCAAGATCCTTTAGGTGCTAGGGACCTCCTAAGGTCCAGATCTGGAGTTCAAGCCTCCTCATGAACCCCAAATCCTCAAAGTCCCAAAATATAAAGAAAAAGGAGCCCTAATCTCCAAAAATGTGAGATCTACCCAAATAAGAGAGAAAGGTTCGAACTTGATACCTCTAACAGAAGCTCTTGGATGAATGTCAACAGATCTAACAACCTTCTTTTGCTCCTTGCTTGAAAACCTTCTCCTTCCTTGCAAAGATACACCAAGATGCTCAAGTTAGCTCTCTCTCTCTCTCTCTCTATATATATATATATATATAAGCTCAAAGATCGTTTAGGGTTTCTCTCAGGGAAGCATGGCCGCAAAAGGAGGCTATAAGTGCCTTTAAATAGGTTCCAAACCCGGGGATTTAGGGGTTTCTCATCCCAGCGCCTACTCGGCGAGTCGCCCCTCGGACTCGTCGAGTAGATCATTAAACCCACGTGGCCATTCGCGATACTACTCGGCGAGTTGTAGCACCAACTCTTCGAGTCACTCTAAAGACTCCAAAGATAAATAATCAAAATGATGTACCTGGGGATCCGAATGTTACAATTAGTTTTGCTTGAACATTTGTAGATTCATCAACATCAAATGTTCGACCAACATCAACAACAACCTTACATTTATATATAAACCCATTTACAGGCCCATTGTAAGAAGGAACATGATTCTATATCATAGGTAATAAGTTACAGATTTGGTTACTTCCAACGTCGGAAGACCCATTGCTACCAAAATGTTTTTCCCCTGGAAATTGATTACATACCATTTTTCATATCATGATTAACAACAATTGTACTTTGTTAAGAGACATACTAGTAACAAAACTAAAACATATTTGACATCGGTATCGTAATCCAAGACATTAAAAAGATAGATGTATTTGATTAGTATGTTAGTTGGACTTCGAAGAAACCAATGTAATTAACCCATAAAATTTGATATCACTACTTATATCTACACCAAAACATGTAGTCTAGAGCAATATCCTGCATAGAACTTTATCCTGCATAGAACTTTCGATTCGTTCCATTGTCTTCCACTAGAAACATGTATTCTAAAAAAAGTTTCTTATATGAACTCATTTTTCACTATCCAAAAGCTTTATTGGTTTATGCAACAAAAATAACAATACAAATACCCTAATATTAATAGTCCATAACATATCTCTGGAATGTCCGTACATTCCAGATCTGAAATGTACTTTTCCGGTCCGGAATTTATGGATGTTAAATTACAGACAAGAATTCTGACAATGATCAGCAACTCAATAAACATAAATACTTCGGAATGCGGTATTCCTGGACGGTTATTTTTCAAAAATGTTAGAAAATATATATATATATATAGTTTTTTTCAAATATTTTCATTTATGATAGTTAGATTACTGTTTTTTTAACCGTTTAACCAAACTAAAGGTTGATAAAGAATAAATTGATTAGAGTAAAATAAAACTTATTCTATATACCCTTTAGTGTGTATGTTTAATTTTTTATACAATTTCTTTTTAACAACAAGAAATTTATTAAAGTAACACAAGCAAGATGCTAGTGAGCATTAACAAAAATACAAGGCCAATTGGGACTGATGTTTCAGCTATCCCACGACAAAAATCTATCTTTTCCAACTCTACTTTGTATCCACCAAAAGAATGTAGTTTTTTATTTTCCAGAAAATGGAATTACAATCCATGATCATTCCCTTGAAAATCTTGTTGTTCCTATACCCCATAAAACCCATATGAAATCCCAATAGAATCACTCCTAGTCAGTGAGTTTTTTGCCATATTATAGTTCTTACATAAAATATTTACAATAGCGTGGTACTTGTAAATATATTTACCATTTAGTTGTACTTTTGATATTCTTAAAGCAATAACAAAGTAAATCCTTTTAATTGCAAACAACCGGTAATCCTTATCACCACCGGTAAGATGGAGCATTAACGTTCTTGCAGACCACGAACAATCCTTAGCAAGTTAGCATCACAAAAAACTGCCCATTTACTGGCCCTTGGGTGCACACGCATGTGCATCCTCCATTGCCATATAAGTCGCTCTAGGTCCTGCTAAATCAACCGGTGGGAGTCCTTCTTGGGTCGTGAGAAGATGACCGACGGTCACAAAGTTTACTTCACCGGTTCATCCGAAGGTTAAGAGGTGTTTACAAGTTTCAGTTTTCGTTTTGTCAGGCACTACCAGAAAACCAGTCTAAGTTAACCGCTTGAGCATTTGCCCATGCCGGAACTTAGATAACACCCATCACACCACCTTCAACTTCAAAGCACCTGTGAACTCCTCTCCCGCACACAATGCAGAGGAATCCTCTATCCTTGTAGCATCAACGATGAGCCAATCCCTCCCATCTGTAGCATTGTCGAACACCCACCACACACACATGTCTGCATTTCCAAATTATAGGAGGGCGTCTCAAAGAACTCGAGAAAGATCCATCATCGATGAGCCATGTGCATATCCAACATTTTCCTTGTCGATTTTCAAATTGATGTTGGTTGTTTTTATATTTCGGCAAGCAAAACAATCAAATAGGAGAAATTTTGTCTTATATTCAATTCCAATTTGGTTGTTTTCTTTTCCCTATGACAAAATGAATATCGATCTTTGTCAATGCTTTGAGCTTATTTTGGTGTTTATGGTTCTCCGTTAACCATATTATTTTCTGCCATAATTATTACAATAGTTTTCTTCGTATGTTCATGCGATTTTCCTTTCCGTTTTTTGTCTTGGTGTGACAGTAAAGGCACGAACATAACAAAAGAGGCAACATATATACATGAAGAACACGATGAAGGCACTGTGAAGAAACGAGGAGTCAACGATGATTCATGGCGAAGAAAGTTTGATGAATGATGACGAAACGGCGAAGTAATGCGGAAGGCCATTGCCGCGTGATGGAAAGGCAGAAAAAGGTCTGCGTGAGGGTAGTTCTTGATAAGTTTAAAATAATAAAATACCAGGTAAATATATTTCAAAGTACCACTAATCGGTAATTATTTTTTTAAAATACTACCCTAGTTAAAAACTCCCTGGTCAGTTGCTTTCCGCATCCCTCTCCTGATTTTTTATACAACTGAGGGACAGTATAATTAATCCTAAAATAATCAATTTGACGACCATATCACACGACACACGTGACCCGTCTCTACAGGGAATATATTTTAATAGTTGACTTCCGGTCAAATTAGCGAAGCTTCTTCCTGTTTCTTCGGTCAACTCCACCTTGACTGATCATCTTCAACTCTCTCCAGACCATCGTCGGGAACGCATTCTCATTTCTCCGATCACAATTTCAGTTTCAAAGTTCATTAAGTGTATAGACAAATTCAACTTCTCCAAGTTCATCAATGGCTGGTGGGTTATTTTTGGGGGCTGTACTAGGGGTCGCTGTTACTAAACTATCAGATGTCATCATAGACGTATTAAAGAAACCCTCGCAGTTTAGCTCCGAGCTCACTAAAATACGAGAAACTATCACGAGAATCAAGCCGATCTTTGATGAAATCGAGAAACTAACTAAAGTATTGGATCGACCGAAACATGAAAATGATATGTTCATCGCTCAGATGGAAGGCGCAGAAGCCCTAATTCTGAAATGCAAGCGTGTCAAATGGAATTTATACAAGAGATACACTTACGGTTTGGAATTAGATGCTTTAAATAAATCGATGGTGGAATTCTTTCGGTTTGATGTTCAGTTGGTGATGGTACGAGATCAGAAAGTGATAATGAGTATGATGAAAGGGGATTCAAGTCGTTCATCTTGTAGGATTCCGTCGCTGAAGGGTTCTGTGATAGGATTCGAAGATCGAGTTAGAAATTTGAAGGAGATGGTCCTCAAAGATTCAGTCGGAGATGAATGTTCAGTTGTAGTTGTTTCTGCTCCAGGAGGCTGTGGGAAGACTACGTTGGTAACTATGCTCTGCCATGATCCCGAAATTAAAGGTATTCAAACTCGTTTCATTCTTTTTTATCAGATCTTTCTGTTATTGATTACAATTTTCTCCTTTGAACAGAAAAATTTGGTGGAGACATTTACTTCGCTACCATCTCAGAGACCCCCAATTTAAAAATCGTCATAAAAAATTTACTGGAGAGAAAGGAAGCCGATTTTATTAACGATGATGATGCAATCAATCAATGGGGGAGCTTTTTAGGAGAAAATGGATCTGAAGTACTATTAGTACTGGATGATGTATGGCCTGATTCCATTACCAACCTGTCTGATTCCATTATTAACCGATTCAAGTTCAATCTCAAAGGATACAAGATTCTGGCTACATCTAGGACCACTTTTACAGAATTCAATACATATCAATTGCAACCTCTGAACGAACAAGATGCCACCAAACTGTTTAATTACTCTGCATTTTCAGAATGTGTGAATAAATATATACCGTATGATCTTGTTGACAAGGTAGAATGAAACTTTTATTAAATAAAACTGAACTTTGTAGGATTCATATATATTTTTCGTTAATTTTTTTTTGGAAATTCTAGCTAAGTAATATAAGCTTTTTGTAGTTGGTGAAGTGTTGCAAGAAACATCCACTAGCCCTTAGTGTGATTGGTGGTTTGCTAAAGGGTAAACCCCTTGTAAGTTGGCGTATCATGTTGAAGAAACTATCTGATGAGCAGCAATCTGTTTTGGATTTGCATCAGCCTATAGAACATTGTCTAGCACGAAGTTTGGATGTGTTTCAAGAAGAATCTGTAATCAAGCAATGTTACATGGATTTGGGATTATTTCCTGAAGATCAGAAAATATCGGCTACAATGCTTATGGACATTTGGGTTCATTTATACAATCATGATGAACACGGATTTGCTACCATAGAACGCCTCTTAGAGCTCTCTTATAGAAACCTTGCAACTCTATTGCCAATTCGGTATTTGGCTTCTGAATTCAATTTAACATTAAGAAATAAACTTAATGAGTTAATGGTTTGCCAAATTTGAATAAATTCTCATTTGATTGCAGGATAGATTCGCCTATGATTGCCAACTATTGTGAGGAGAAAGCTGTCATACAACACGATTTGATGAGAATGCTAGCTATTCGTTTATGCAGCCAAGAGCCAATAGAGCTCAGAAAGAGGTTAATCATAAATGCAAATGGACAAGACCTTCCCCAATTGCCTCATACTATCAATGCCACTATATTGTCCATTACCACAGGTTTGTTTACCCCATTTCCCAAATTTATAACATTGTATCCAGTCAAAAATTTCATTATTCATTCTTTTACTCCTATTATGCATACTACGATGACAGATGAAAGATTCTCTTTAAAATGGAATGACATTCGAGCCCCTGAAGTGGAAGTTTTCGTATTGAACTTCATGTCAAAAGTATACCACTTACCACAATTCATGCAAACCATGAAGAAATTAAAAGGTTCTAATCATAACAAACTACGGGTATAACTTCTCAGACCTTCAAAACTTCCCCTCGCCACAATCTTTATCCCGTCTAACTACAATTAGGTTAGAACACGTTTCAATATCTTCAATCTCTACAACAATCCTAGGGTTAGAAAACTTGCGAAAAATGTCCTTGATCATGTGCAAAATAGGTGACAGTTTCAACGAATACATACTCAATAAGTTAACAACACCGCTTTCGGAGATCAATATAGACTCTTGCGATGATTTGATCACATTTCCTTCAACGTTTTGCAATCTAATCGGCCTTAGAAAACTAATCGTTACTAATTGCCATGAATTGAGTTCGCTTACCGAAGGATTTGGGAATCTGATGAATTTGGAAGTTTGCGGCTTGCATCATGCTCGAATCTCAAAGAATTGCCTGAATCGATGAGAAACATGCAGAAATTGAGGGTTATGGATCTATCTGACTGTTTGCATCTGAAGAAGTTGCCATGGGAGATTGGTGAGTTGAGTAGTCTACGGATGATTCATATGAGAGGTTGCACTGGGCTTCATGAGCTTCCATTGTCATTCAATGATTTAGGCTCATTGGAAGTTGTTTGTGATGAAGAAATAGCAGTGCTATGGAGGGATTTCAAGGATGTGAAAGTACAATTGGTGGAAGAAGATAGAATTGCTACCCTTTCGAAGATTATCCAAAGAGATGTGCATGTTTAATCAGGTTTTAAGTTCAAGGCTGATAATCACATATTCACCTTATTTGCTAATATGATATAGTGTGATTTACCTTCTCATATTTGCCATTAGTAGGGCATTCTTATGTTGGTCGTCTTCTCTATCTATTGAACTTTTAATGTATGTAAAATTTTGGATACATGTTTTCTTGATGTTTCATGTAACCTATTTAACTATACCCAATATTGGTATTGTCCGTTTAGTTGGTTTTGCTTGTTTATCTAAATAAATAGAGTAAATTTATGTTAGCCATCAAATAAATTTTTTGTTTAAGAAGATATAAGAATGCTATTATTTGATTGAAACAACAAAGCTTGTAATTAAACTAAATAGATTGCTTGAATAAGAACCTTATTGGTGTTTATGGAAAAAAGGCAATTCATTTACAGCTTCGGCTATAATTCAAAAACACGTGACCATTGACTAGATTCGTGTTTGCATTGATTGCATATAGATAATCGTTATTGTTCAACTGATGTCAAGTTTGGGTACGAACTATCTACATGTGCACCAACCCTCTTACACCGCCATGAACCACTTGACACAGTCAACAAGACCATAAGAAGACCATGACAGATGGATTTTCATACTTGTGCATCAATAGTATATACAGAAACTTTTGGGTTAAGTACTTTTCTAGGAGGTTCATGTAAAGTGCCAAATATGATGCTCTGATAATTCTTAGGAAAAAATGCAACATCTTACCAAATAAGGGGGTACGACGGTTTTTTCCGGGTTTACCGTTAAACCATAAACATAATATGAACAAGAATTAAAATCAAGAAGAGTAAACTTACAAGGAAAGATGTGAGGGGAGAAGCAACTAGAGTTGTATGTGCAGCAGCAGCCTCTTTTTTTTTTTTTTTTTAATGTATAAGGGATATAATATGAAGTGATTGAAAGAACTAGGAATGTAAGAGATAGACTAAGAGAATCGGAAATAGATCGTTTAGAGAGACATGAGGAAATTTGATAAACAACAAGATTTTTTTTTATGAAAAACTCTCTTGATTTACAACAGGTTGTATCCCTTTATATATACAAGGGATAGCATAGATATAACATTTCTATAAAGACATGATACCTACTAGCACACCTCTATATTGACACGATACCTATTTACAAGACATAATATTCGATCTGAATAATTTGATTCTTACATAAAGTATGAAACGACAGCACAACCTTATCAATCAATAATTTTATATGACAAAAGAATTTTACATAAATGGCCCTTGAATTTATTTTAATCTGTCTCTTTGCATCCTTTGTTGAAAAATCATCACTTGCTAAAAAGTCCCGATGAGTATTGTCGATAGAAACCGGTGATCCTGGTTCTGTGTCAATCTGTTCTTCACTGTTCATGATATCTTCTAGTCTCAATAGTGTATCTCCTTCACCGTTGAATGGCAAGAGCATATGCCAATTTTGATGAGACCAAATTTGTAAGTAGTGTCCTTCTGCTAGGAGTTTATAATTTTCCCAACGAAAACTTGCAGGTAGTAAAGGTGTTTTTTGAGCTGTGCATATATCTTCATTTGAAAGATTATGTAGAGTTCCAAAATCTATTTCTTGTTTGCATGATAACTTTTTAAGATAGCCATGTTGTACTGTTCTTTGGGTGATGAAGATCCTTTTTCTAGCAGGTCTGTATGTATGTTCATCCGCTGCTCGAAAAGAAGAAAAAATTTTGCACCCAATAATTGGACTGATGATGTGAGAGGCGATGTTTCCGGCTGTTAAAATAAATTTTTCTCCTAATTTATTAAGAAGACTTTTTGTGCTGCTATTGAGGCAGAATTCTAAGTAATCTATCATTCCATTGTGATAAAAATTAATTATCTGTTCCTCTGGCATGTCTGTAGTTTTTAGGTTTATCTGTAACAGGAGTATGGGAGTACCTTCACCTTCATCATTCAATCTTTGGATTATTGTAACTCCTTTATAATTGATTTCTTAAAAAGCAATCTGTACAATCTTCTGCTGTAATTTATATAGAATTGCTGGAAATTCTATATAAATTTTTTGAGACACCATTTGCTCAAATTCTTTAAACTGATCAAGTACTGGTCTCAATGTTTGTCTCCAAGGGAGATCTAAAATCCGAGCTTTAAAACATTCATAGTTTCTGTATATTGTTGTTTTTAATTTTTCATCTTTTTTCTCATTCCTTTGTATAGGCTGTACATTTTTTAACCCAAAATGTTCTCGAGCAATATTCATAGCTTCTTGGAAGCTACAACATCCCTTGTAAAGGGGATTTTGACACTGTATATATTTTATGACTGTTGCCCAATTATTAAAAATCCCAACTTTAGCGCCCCTAATGATAAAATAATGTGTAAACTTCTTTATTTGTTTTTCAGGGGTCAATGGTGACTGTTTATGAAAGTAAAAACTTAAAGCATTGAGGATTTGAACTTTAAATGATGAAGCCTGTGGAACTGTCTGAATATGCCATAAGTTGTCTAGCAAACATTGTTGGTCTTCTGTCAAGTTTACTCCAATCATGGGCCTAAACTTTTTACGTTCATCGAAGCAAATTGGTAAAGTGCAGTTACCAAATGCTATAACGGCTTCTCTGTTCTGTGTATATTGTGTATTTTTTGAAGGCCCTGTCCAATAATATGCATGTTGAATATTTTGAGATTGTGGTCTAGATCCTTGCAAGAGGTTATTATTATGTATAGTACTCACTATTTCCATATAAGGAATCGAGTTTTGTTGTGTGGGTTTATGTAGATATTATGTTTTTATTGCTAAATTCAATAATTTTTCTGTTGATGTTGTGTTTCTATCTTCCTCTGAAGAAATGCTCATGGAAGAGGAACTCCTTTTTTGTTGTGTAGGTTGTATTAATTTGTTCTTTCCTTTGTTTCGACTATCCATCTGCATAAAATAATCTGTTAATATTTCTGGATAGCATATCAGCTATTCCATTATTTTCTCCCTTTATGTGTTCAAAATTTATTTTATATCCACTTCCTGGTATTGTATTTTGTAAATTAATCCATCGTGTCCTATTTATTTTCTTACTTTGATCATTTTTAATAAAACGAACTATAGCTTCACCATCTGTTCTAACTGTAAATTCTTTATGTAAAAATATCTTAAATTTTTCTAAAGCATTTTATTAAGCTAGTATTTCGTAGTCTATAGAAGTCCAATTCATTCCTGTCTTATTAAAGCTTCCACTAGCATATGAGCATATTTTTTCTATATCTTTTGGGCTATATTTATCGGGTTTAAAAAGGAGAACGGCTCCCCATCCTTCTTTGCATCCATCAACTTCTATTATTATGTAATCAGTAACTAATGGTAATTCTAATGATTTAATATTTTTAACTGCTTCTTTAATTACTTTAACTAATTTAATGTCTTCTTGGTTGAAATGTCTTTGTCCATTTTTTTTGTTTTACTATATAATGGTCCCACTAACTTTGAAAGATTAGGAATAAACTTTCGTGCATAATTAACCAATCCTAAAAAAGTTTGTATCTGTTTTAGATTTTCAAACTTTTCTGGGAATTCTAAAAATTTTGTCGATATATGACTTTGTAATTCAATTTTTCCATTTCTTATTTCTAAACCAAGAAATGATATTTTTCTTTTAAACAATTCCATTTTCTTTTAGAAATAACAATACCATTCCTTTTTATTTCTTCAAATATTTTCTGTAAATGCTTCTCATGTTCCTGTACTGTTTCACTAGCAACCAAAATATCATCAATATATACTAAACAAAAATCATATTTCAGAAAGATACTGTCCATAAACCTTTGAAATATAGATGGAGCATCTTTAAGCCCAAAGCTTAAAACATTCCATTCATATTGTCCTTCAGAACATGTAAATGCTGTCCATGATTTAAAGTTTTCGTCAAGTTGTAACTGATTGTATCCAGATTTTAAATCAAACTTGCTAAAAACTTTTTTCTTTTGTATCAAGTTTATTAAAGAGTCTTTATTAGGGATATTGTAACCATCATCTTCTGTATTATCATTTAGTCTTTTATAATTATAAACTATTCGAGTTTTTCCTCTTTTTATTTCAGAATGATTTCTTACTATAAAAGCTGCTGACCTATGTGGACTTTCCGATTTTTTAATTAATCCCTGTTCTATCATTTCTGGTATTTGTTTTTTAAATTCTTCTTTATCTAAAGGACTATATTCTATATTTGTTGTTCTTATTGTAATATCAGGATTTTTTAATTTAAATTTACAAATATTGTTAACTTTTGATTTTGTAATATCTTCTCCTATAAGTCCAATTTTCTCTAAGTGTAAAATTATAGGATGATTCATACTTTTGGTTATATCTTTTCCTTTTTCTAACTCATGTGTTAAACATTCTGTTAATAGCTTAATTGTTTCATTTTCAACATTCGTCTTAATTTGATTATGTTTTAAAAAGTCTAGTTTACCTTGTCCACCACGCTTTTGCGCAAGAATTCTGCCTCAATAGCAGCACAGAAAGTCTTCTTAAAAAATTAGGAGAAAAATTTATTTTAACAGCCGGAAACATCGCCTCTCACAGCATCAGTCCAATTATTGGGTGCAAAATTTTTTCTTCTTTTCCAGCAGCGGATGAACATACATACAGACCTGCTAGAAAAAGGATCTTCATCACCCAAAGAACAGTACAACATGGTTATCTTAAAAAGTTATCATGCAAACAAGAAATAGATTTTGGAACTCTACAGAATCTTTCAAATGAAGATATATGCACAGCTCAAAAAACACCTTTACTACCTGCAAGTTTTCGTTGGGAAAATTATAAACTCCTAGCAGAAGGACACTACTTACAAATTTGGTCTCATCAAAATTGGCATATGCTCTTGCCATTCAGCGGTGAAGGAGATACACTATTGAGACTAGAAGATATCATGAACAGTGAAGAACATATTGACACAGAACCAGGATCACCGGTTTCTATCGACAGTACTCATCGGGACTTTTAGCAAGTGATGATTTTTCAAC